GCAATTACTTTTAAGTGATTTCAACATCCGATTAAAGATGATCTATCTATTTCTTTTGTAAGACAAACTGAATAGTTTGTCTCGTAGTTTTAGACTTTTTCCCTTCCATTTTAAAAATAGGTAAAAAAATCAAAGTAAATAAATAGTCTGAAGACAATAATATATATGCGGGGTGTATATTAAAACTAATTATTATTAATTTTATAAAAAAATTAAGTTGAGTTGTGTGTGTGTGTGTGTGTGTGTGTGTGTGTGTGTGTGTGTGTGTGTGTGTGTGTGTGTGTGTGTGTGTGTGTGTGTGTGTGTGTGTGTGTGTGTGTGTGTGTGTGTGTGTGTGTGTGTGTGTGTGTGTGTGTGTGTGTGTGTGTGTGTGTGTGTGTGTGTGTGTGTGTGTGTGTGTGTGTGTGTGTGTGTGTGTGTGTGTGTGTGTGTGTGTGTGTGTGTGTGTGTGTGTGTGTGTGTGTGTGTGTGTGTGTGTGTGTGTGTGTGTGTGTGTGTGTGTGTGTGTGTGTGTGTGTGTGTGTGTGTGTGTGTGTGTGTGTGTGTGTGTGTGTGTGTGTGTGTGTGTGTGTGTGTGTGTGTGTGTGTGTGTGTGTGTGTGTGTGTGTGTGTGTGTGTGTGTGTGTGTGTGTGTGTGTGTGTGTGTGTGTGTGTGTGTGTGTGTGTGTGTGTGTGTGTGTGTGTGTGTGTGTGTGTGTGTGTGTGTGTGTGTGTGTGTGTGTGTGTGTGTGTGTGTGTGTGTGTGTGTGTGTGTGTGTGTGTGTGTGTGTGTGTGTGTGTGTGTGTGTGTGTGTGTGTGTGTGTGTGTGTGTGTGTGTGTGTGTGTGTGTGTGTGTGTGTGTGTGTGTGTGTGTGTGTTTTCATGCAATTATTTTTAGGTGATTTCAACATTCGATTAAAGATGATGTGACTATTTTTTTTGTAAGACAAAGTGATTAGTTTGTCTCTTGGTTTTAGACTTTTGCCCTCCATTCTACAAATAAATAAATAAAATTAAAGTAAATTAATAGTCTGAAGACAATAATATATATGTGGCGTCTATATTAAAACTAATTATTATTAATTTTATAAAAAAAATTGAATGGAGTCACTTGTCTATATAAAAAAATTGAGTGAAGTCACAATCAATGACATGCAGCCTGTTTGATTAGACGAGACAATGAAGGAATCTCCTTTTCACATGTGATCTTGCATGCCTACATTTACCATGTAGGCCTACGAGACTCTCTTTCTGTATGCATCAAGACTTGATAAGACGGGACACTGCATCCACCATGCTTGATAAGACGGGACACTGCATCCACCATGCTTGATTAGACGAGACACTGCATCCACCATGCTTGATTAGACGAGACACTGCATAAAAAAGACTCTGCATCCAACATGCATTTACATCACATGCATCATGACATTAGTCCAACATGCATTTACACAACACATGCATGACGACACACGTCCAACAAGCATTTACACAACACATGCTTCAAGCCACTTGTGAAGCATGCATTTACAACATATCCACTCGTTGAATATAAATATAGGGTCTTTACCCATCAAATTCTACTCACACTTAAACTCTCATACTCTCAACCCTCATCTCTCAACTCTCAACCTTTTAACTCTCAACCTCTCAACTCTCAAACTCTCAACTCTCCATCTCTAAATCTCAACATCCCAGATGATAATGTCTCTACTCACCATGGGTGACTCGCACAAAGGGACGGCTGAAAACATCACTAAGTTTGTAAGTCTTTTGTTCTTATCTATGTTTACAATTTTGTCTAAAAAAACGTTAGTAATTTTACTTCTTCTCTAACGTAACATTCATTATTCTGCAGGATGTATCAAGGTTTCGATGTCGTGTGCATGATTACATACCACACGACCCGCTCATTACGGACTACCTTACTCATTGTGGGTTTGGTGATTTGATCAAAATCAAATCTTATTCCCTCGACATGAAATTTATTCTAGCGTTGTTAGAACGCTGGAGACCGGAGACACATACATTTCACCTACGTTTTGGTGAGTGTACTGTGACTCTTCAGGACGTTTACATGTTGCTCGGCCTACACATCAATGGTAAGGCCGTCAACGGCAAAGTTGGTGTCCCTGACCAACTTTGCGAAGATTTATTGGACGCCCCTCTTTGTATGGACGGACCTCAGGCGAAAAGTGAGGGCCGCCCGAGGGGTCAGGGAATTAATTTAAAATACCTTAGAGAACAATACAACCGTATTGTCTTAACTGATGATAGCATCGAGTTTAAGAAAATACAAAAAACTCGGTGCTATATTATGATTTTATTCGGGCACTTTTTATTTCCAGATGGCACTGGAAATACCGTCCATACTATGTATTTACCATTATTGCGGAATATTAACAAAGTGTACGAATATAGCTGGGGATCAGCTGTCCTCGCCCATCTATATAGCGCACTTTGTAAAACTTCAAAAAAAAATTCCTGCACTTTTTATGGTTGTGCTTATCTTCTGCAAGCGTGGGGTTGGTCTAGGATGCCAATGCTTGCTCCAATAAACAGGAATTCTTTTACGTTCCCGTACGCCAACAAGTAAGTATCTTTTCAAGATTATTTAGCAACTACATATTCTTTTTCAGTTAATAATTTCTGAGATGTGTTTATTTTTTTAGGTGATCTGTTCTAGGGATGAATTATCAGAGATGTCCAAGGCACTCTATAATTCAATACCGCAACCTAATCGACCACCTTGGGCCAGATGATGTAAGTTATTTACCATTAATTTTTTTAATGTATATGCATAAACCTCTCAAACTCTGTCTAACTCAATTGTCCAACTTTATTGTAGTTTGTCTGGATGCCGTACGAGGGTCTCGACCACGAGCCCAACCCCGACGATGCCGCTGTGTGGACATCAAAGACACCCATAATTAGGTTCACTACGGTGGAGATACACCAGAGTGACCGGATGAAACTACAATTTGGGATGCATCAGGATATTCCAGATGCTCCAGTAGACTTGGGGCAGTGGCATCAAAAGCGGGTAAACGCAGAGTGGAGTGTCAGTGACTGGAAGGAGTTTGCGAAGGAGTTGTGTATACACTGGAAAAGAAGAAGACAATACGTATTAATCGACCGTATTGTGCACGGGGCTAGGCCAAGTCTTCAATATATGACTTGGTTTAGGTCTGTCACGACATCTCAGCCTTTCCTGTCCCAGCCAACCTATTTGGCCGACCCAAGGGAACGCGGTTCTTCGTCAAACCCATGGCAACAGTTCAGTGCCCAAACCCAGCCTTATGAAAACCCATACATGCCAACAAATACCCCCTATCAACAACGACAACCTTACATGCCACCCACCCAATCCCAGCCTCAACCACCTTACCATTACAGCCCTGATACCTCTTTTGAGCCTACCCCTCCACCTATAGCTCAAACAACTCATTTGACCTTACCCCCTCTAACTACACCTCCAACTACACCTCCAACTACCCCTCCAACGACCCCCCAAATTATCCATTATTCGACTACCACACCCTGCAACAACCAACTAGACCAACCCAACTCCATGTACACATTCGGACAATCATACCGTCCATACTCCACCCAACCTCCCCGACAATCCTTCGAAAACATGGGCATCGGGCTTGACTACGGAAGCGTCGTTGACAGTGGACCTCCCGGCTATTGGGGTCAAATGATGCAAACTCTATCTGATACGCCGGGGCCGTCCCAACCATACCCTCCTCCACAACTCAACACACAGATACCGGACACACCACAGCAACCTCGTCGCAATGCGCGTCCCCCACAATGTGGCACCGGTGGTCACTTGGATAGAGCCGGTCATTAGTTTTTTTTCTTTTGTTCAATTGTAATTGTACTTTTTATTAGATTCTAAATTAATATAATTTGTTATTTCTATATTTTATTTTAACATTCTATATCCTAATTTTTTCTTAATATTATTTAAATTTCAATTAATTATGAAACACAAACAACATATATTTCTTAATTAAAAATAAAGTATTTATTAAAAATAATTAAAAACTGTTTGTAAATATTAAAAATAAGGAATTTAAAATAAATTATTTAAAAAATAGAATAAAACATTAATAATCAATTATTTAAATTTATTAAAAACTAATAATAATATAAATGAATCAAAAAATAAAAACGGAACCCTAACCATTGACCTCATTCGCCATTCTGGTTGGCGAAGGGATTCCCAATTGGCCTCACTCGCCATTTCATGTGACGAATTCCCTTTCTCTATAATAATTTTGCTCTCATTCGCCATTTCAAATGGCGACCTGCTGTTGAAATGTTGGCCATTTTAAAAGTTTATTTGAAATACTTGTTATTTTGGTATTTATTATTTAATATATGGTTATTATAAAAAAAAATCTCTTAAGCCATATATATATATATATATATATATATATATATATATATATATATATATATATATATATATATATATTAATAATGTATATTTATGCAATTATTTTTAGGTGATTTTAACATCCAATTAAAGATGATCTGTCTATTTCTTTTGGAAGACAAAGTGATTAGTTTGTCTCTTAATTTTAGACTTTTGCCCTTTCATTTTACAAATAAAAAAAATCAAGGTAAATAAATAGTCTGAGAACAATAATATATATATATATATATATATATATATATTCTGAAATGTCGGTCAATCTGATTGATAGAGAAACAAACATATGTCCGAAAAACGTAAAGCATTGTTTTTGAGTTTTTAACATGAAGTGGAAATTATTAGTCTTCGCAATGATGTAAACATGCCTGTAGTTGTTAACGACTACGATTTGAAAAATTAAAAAAAAAAACTATATTAATATTAAAATAACCAATTTGACATGATCAATCATACATTACTCATGTATATAATATGTGTGCAATAGGCTCTACTTAAATATATTTCCATAGACAAAAATTGTTTAACCAAAACAATTATAGTACTCGCAAACTAAGAAAGATACCGGAAACAAGAATGAATTTAACACAAGTACTTTGCATGAATGGAAGTCTGGAAGAAACAAGCTATGCAAACAACTCCTTAATTCAGAGAGAGGCAATTTCGTTGAGTACATCTTCGAGAGTCAAAGCTATAACCAACTTATATTGCAGTTTGTGCCCTAGAAGCTTCGCAATTGCAGATTTGGGTTGCTCTTCAGGACCAAACACTTTATTGGTGATCTCTGACGTTATCAAAGTTGTGGAAAAGCTTTGTCAACAATTGAATCATGAATCTCCAGAATATAAGGTTTTTTTGAACGATCTACCGGAAAATGACTTCAACAACATATTCAAATCTCTTGACACCTTCACACAAAAATTACGTAATGAAATGGAAATTGAAATGGGTTCTTGTTACTTCTTTGGTGTTCCCGGTTCTTTTTATGGACGAATTTTTCCTAACAAGAGTTTGCATTTTGTCCACTCTTCATATAGTCTTCATTGGCTATCTAAGGTTTGTTTATGTTAATTATTTGTCATGTTTTAAATTGTGAATTACCATTACCATTGATTGAGAGGTGTTTGAAATATACATTTGAAATACATAATTTTAAGATTTTGAGTAACATTTAAAAGAAAATGAGATTCATGATTCCAAAATTTTAAATTTTGGTTAGATGAGTTGAATGAACATAACCGAAATTGTTTAATGTAATGTTTGATATGCACACATAGTTTTACTTCACATTATAATTGCAGTCCTTTGTCGTTACTCGTTAGAGTTACTTACTGTAATTGTAATATTGTCACCGCAATTTAAAATCATATTTATCTTTATTTTTATAAGTTATTTGGATTTTTACATGTCTTAATCAACTTTTAACTCATATATATATATATATATATATATATATATATATATATATATATATATATATATATATATATATATATATATATATATATATATATATATATATATATATATATATATATATTGTTTATTGGTGATTAAATAGGTTCCTAAAGGTGTTGATAACAATAGCGGCAACATTTATGTGACGAGCACAAGCCCATCAAATGTTCTCAAGGCTTACCACGAGCAATTCCATATAGATTTTTCTCATTTTCTAAAGTGTCGTGCCGAAGAAATAGTTGAAGGGGGTTGCATGATTCTAACATTTTTAGGAAGAGAAAGCGACGATTTACTAAGCAAGGGTGTTTGTTACGGTTGGGAACTTTTGACTACAGCTCTTAATGATATGGTCATGCAGGTAGGTTCTGAGATCATTTTGTAACATTTGAAACATTAATGTAACATTATTAATATGAACTATGCAATTTGTAGGGAATCATTGAAGAAGAGAAACTCAATACTTTTAACATCCCAAATTATTATCCATCTCCATCAGAAGTGAAATTGGAAGTTGAAACTGAAGGATCATTTTCCATTAATCAATTGGAAGTTTCTGAAGTAAATGTGTCTGCTCTTGATTCTGATTTGTGTGAATCAGTCGCAAAAGGCACAAGAGCTGTAATTGAACCTTTGTTAATTAATCATTTTGGTGAAGGTGTTACTAGAGAGGCTTTTGACCGCTATAGAAAAATATTAGCATGTGGAATGTCCAAAGAAAGAATTAAGATGACCAATCTTACTGTGACATTGAATAGAAAATCATGAGGAAAACGTTTCAAAGTCAGTTTGATGGTCAACACCACCAACAGTACGGGTATGGGTGATATGGAAGTTGCATAATATGTTTCTATTATCTTTGATATGGTTATGTTTGTTAAGCAAGAGAGGTTGATACAATTATACTTTTACGTTGGAAGTGGTTTATGGTTAAGAACTTAGGTTTTTTTATAAGTGGTTGAAATAATTATAATAATATACTTACTTAGATAGATATTTAGTGTTTATCCTTTTACTTTGTTGCTTTTTGATATTTGAATTTAGGGTTGGTTCAAGAAACCTTGAAAAGAATTTTAAGTTTAGAATATTTTGATTAAAAAACATCAAAAGAAAGGGATTTAATTTATAAATATATAATATCAAATAAAAATAAAAGTTATTTTTGGTTGAATTATTAAAATGGAGGTCTCATATTATAATGATTTTGTCAATACTAGAATGTTCTAGTATGCACCAAAATGTTTTTTTATTTGTCCAACGATTTCAAGGTTGTAAACCTATTAAGGGTTTAGAATGAAAGCTTTTTAGTGCTGTAAAATTAGTAGAAGATCCGTGCGTCCGCACGGGTACCAGAAAAAGTATAATCTTATCGAATTTAAATTTCACTATATTAAGAGTAATATTTATGCAGGTTTTTATTTATTTGAATCTAACTAATAGTATCTCGTGTAACTTTATGAAGTATTTCAATCACATTTTAAACATTATAGTGAAAAGGTTAAAATACATAATTAAAATTTTAGACTTTTAATTTTTTAAAGTAATATTTATACATGATTCATTTTTTAGAGTAATAGCGTAACATACAATTTTATCTGTGTTATTTTTGCAATTTAATAGTATAATGAAATGTAGTTTTAAAACTACAATTTAATTTGAAATAAAACAAATATTTTTTAAGAAGTCTATTAGATCGCATATGATAATAAAAACCAAATAAGTCTTGATCCATTATTTATATTAAATTTTAACCTTAAAAATTGAAATATGTGAAAAGAAAATGGGTGATATCAATTATGTTTCAATTATGTTTAATCAAGTAATGGTAATATCTTAAAAACAAAGTAAAAATGTAATTGAAAAATGTTCCACATTATAACGGTTGATTAACTAAAATTAATACTCTATCATACATCTAAAATAATAAGCATATTCTTAGATAAAATTGTCTTCATGCCTTTTTGCATTGAATCACTTTACAATAGCACAGAATTTTCAGCAGCATGTTAGTTTTTCAGATCTCCCGTGAAACTTCCTATTATGATTCATGTATAGGAAATTTACCATCAAGCTTCATAGCTAGCTAGCTCACTAACAAAATGATCATACTTGTTTTCATATGATCAGTAGCACTAACAAAATGACAGAGAAGTAGCAGTAAACTCATCATCACCTGATATTGGTTTTAGTAACCAACAATGGTTTTTTGACTACTTGAGTTTTGATGACATTAAATGACAACAAATTAATCCTGAGTTTTGATGACTCTGAGTTTCCATACTCTCAACCATCCATAACCCAACTCTTCCACCTACATCCAAGACAAATAAAATTAACTTAATGATCAAAGGTCTCAACATTGTTTTGACTGAAATCTGATAAGGGCTTAACAAACTTACATCCAACTCTATCAATTTATTCACAAGTGCAGGTAGCATGGTATTTGGCATGCCATAACATGAAATGAAAGACAATAAATTCATTAAATTCATTAAATTGAGTAACTAATACAGCAAGAATTTGCAACAACCATTTCACTGAAAATGCAATCTGAACATAAGGATTATTGACATAAGGAACATGTAGTTCTTGTTACTGAGAGTACCAGCATAATAGCGAAATAAGCGCACAACCAGAGGTATTTCAGTCTTGGCAGCCTGATTATAAAGCTTTCCATTGTTCCATGTCTCCAGAGCTACAATCTCATCATTATGCTTTTTAATCAAATCAGCAAAGTGCAACAATATGCGACTTCTTTCCTGAAGGTGTCATCAAAGATCATCATCATTATAAAGATATTGAGGTAATACAAAACCTGATTAATAAATAGAGCAAAGTGTGCAATTTCAACAGCCTTGCCAACATCAGCGTCTTCACAAACAATGAAAGGAGATTTTCCTCCAAGTTCCAATGTCACTTGCTTAAGATTGCTTCTTGCAGCTAGTTGAAGTACAGTCTTTCCAGTATTTGTCGATCCAGTGAATACTAATTGCAAAATTAGAAGGAAAAAAATGAATTTCTAACAATATATTAATATAAATGGATGAAATATATTAATATTTGTAAGGCATAATCTAAAGGATATGGACATAAAAATACCTTGTCCACATCCATATGACTTGCAAGAGATGCCCCAGCAGTTGGACCATAGCCAGAAACTATATTCAGAACACCTGGGGGAAGACCAGCCTGCCCAAAAGTGTGAACATTACAACTTAATGTCGGAAATACAAGTGCAACCAAAATAGTCATAAAAATCTTAATAAGAAAAATAGAAAATTACACAAATTGAGTTTAACTTATGAGGTAAAAAACTAAAGGCTAGAATAATTATTTCACAAATGGCATCACACATTAAAGCATTCTGTATTTGTTTTTTGAGCTTCTGGATTATTAGTTATGAGTTAACCTCGTGAAGTAGTCTTGCCACGATGAGAGCCGTTAGCGGTGTTTGCTCAAAAGTCTTCAGGACAATGGTATTACCACATGCTAGTGCTGGTCCAACTTTCCAAGTGAACATAAGTAGAGGAAAATTCCAAGGTATAATTTGTCCTGCTACACCAATTGGTTCATGCAATGTCTGGACATGATAATCTCCATCAGCTGGGACTGTCATCCCATGAATTTTATCATTCCTACAAAAAAAATTGCATTAAAATCAAAATCACAATATTCCTTTTTCTTGAGAAAGAAACAAAAATGCACTGGCACAGAGGGTATCCACTATCCAGCAATGATTTCACGTCAACTAAAATGAGCAGCAAATATGTAGATGGGTTATTTCTTTTACCTGTGCACAGACAAACCAGAGGCTCAATAATGACAGCAAAAAGCAACGAAACCCTGATACAAGCAGGATCAAGATTCCCTGCAGTCGAAAAGGCATGCAGTCACACTATCATGCAGCAGGAACCGCTTGATTAGCATTAGACATTCTTGATTTAAGTTGATTATTTTTGAAATTATAAAATTCTGCTTTTCTGGTCTTCAGATCAAAATCTAACGCCTTGTAAAATCTTGATCAAAATCTAGCGCACATGTAAATCATTTGATCCGGATACAAAATTAGAAAATATTTGAAATTGAATGGCCTCTGCAATTCATAAGTCGTATAAACAATTTGATGGAACCAAGATGAGCAGATGCGTGCAGAGGTTGTAACAAAAACAATTACCAAACACAGGACACATAATACATCAATATGAGATCATCACCAATAAAACCATAAATGACAGAAATTGAAGGTATGGATTAGCATCTAATTAGACTACAATAAGATAACATCTAATTAGCATGCATGTTGTATTGACATATACTTGGCTGATAAAAACTGTATTAAGCAATAATATTCACATACATGGTTTCCAGCCAGCAATCTGAGGCACTGTTGTTTGCCATCCAGCAGCCCACATCGCTGGTCCTTCAACAGCAATAGCAAATGGGGTGAGAAGCAATAGAGATAATATAGAGAGGCAAATGTAGTAGTTCATTCCACTAACAGACATTCCTTTCATTCCCTTCTTTGAAAATATATTCCTAAACACAAAGGCCACATTGGATATCATAGCTCCTATAAACCCTGAAACACATAAGATTAATAAAAAAACTACAAATTTAGTGTCTTCGAAGCACAGACAAATTTAATATCTACGAAGCACAGACACCAGCATAAGACACTACAAATAAGTGAATATCTATTTTCTTACCGATCATATTGAAATTAAGTTCAGTGACAGCAACAATTGCACAACCTCCAATAATCAGCAACAGTGAAAGATAAACTTGCAAAGGAAAAGATTCACCAAGCAAGAACTTCGATACCAAAACATTGAAAGCAGGTTCACCACTTTTAATTATATGTGTAAACGAAACTGCAACTTTGGACATACTCACAGTAGCTGCAACATGCCCAATTGTATGTGCCACTGCAACCTACAATTCAAATTCACCATTCAGTCAAACATGTTACAGTCAACATGATACTGATAAAAAACGAAACAACATTGCATGCTTATCGGAAACAAAGCCTTCCAAAACTCGAAATCAACTTTAGGAACATCAGCAAGTCTTGTAGCCCATGAAATCAACATAATGAGAGAACCAACAGCAAGTGATAAAGTGGAAGTAAGCCATGGATAAGGAGGAAGAGAACAAAGAGAAAGAGAGAGACAAGAAAAGAGAGAGAAAGTAGGAAAGAGTGGGAAAAACTTTTTGAGCTTGTGAAAGAGTGAGAAAGAGTGGGAAAGAGTGAGTTGGTAAAAAGAAAGAATAGACCAATTAGTGAGGGACAAGTGGATGAATGTGAGGTTTAGAGCATTTGAAAGAGTTGAATTTGTTATTTACTTTTTTGTCCTTGAGTTGGGCATAATGGTGTGAATGGTATAATAGGTAGAATGGTGGCAATCAACTTTAATGGGTAGGTAGTTGATGGTCAATGGGGTCAAGTTTGTCAGAATTCAAAGTTGCGTAGGAATAAGAAAATTCGTCAAAAATTTCACATATATTAGAACTGAAATGACCACTAATGATAAATTGCATAGAAACTGTGAATTGTGTCGTTTTATTGATCACACCCAAAAGTGGTGTCCTAACCTTAAATTACTTGCAAGATTTATATTATATAAATATTAATTTTAAATTACGACACAACAAAACAACAACACAAACAATGGATTAAAAATCATAACATTATGATATACTAATTAGCAATAATAAACAAGCAAAACAATTTCATTTTCGCCACGTCAAACAATCCTCAATATAGATCT